AAAAGAAGACTTGCTTCGGAAGACAAATATCAACCATCCGTACACAATGGCCAGTCCAGCAAAGTTGATATTTCATAATCTTTGCCTCAACACTGGTGATGCTAGCTGCAGAGAGAGCGCTGACATTGGTGCAATGATCTTCCCATTTGATATGGAGAATCTTGCTAAGGCTGTGCTGGTGGTACTGCTCCAGATGCTGAAGAAGGCTTTGATATGTCACCCATGTCTTGCACCCATAAAGAAGAGTGGGGATATCTACTGCATTATAGACCAAGATCTTAGTTTCCATCAGCAGATCTCTGTCAATAAAGGCACAACGAAGCAACTTTCTGAAGGATGCGGTGGCACAACGGAGCCTATGTTTGATTTCCACATCAAGATTGGCTGTCTGGGAGAGGTGGCTATAAAGGCAAAGGAAATGCTCAATGTTTTCCAGGAGTTTATCAACAATGATGATTTGTGGGAGAAGGGGGACAACTTGTGCTGGGGCAGTCTGGTGGAACACCCTACTCTTCCCAATGTTGAGGGAAAGTCTCAGGCTATGATAGGTGCCTAAGAAAAGATCTAGGGTGGATTGCAAGTTATCCTCAGTGTGTGCGAGGATAGCACAGTCATCAGCATACTGAAGGTTGGTAGTAACAGTCTTGGTTACCTTAATTTTAGAATGAAGACGCTGCAGGTTGAAGAGCTGGCTGCAGTCATGAATAAGAATCAAGATCACGGCAAGATAGATGGAAAAAAGGGTTGGGGCAATAACACAGCCCTACTTGACACCAGTACGGATGGTGAATGGGTCCATCTCCTACCCATTACAGAGGACAGTGGCAGTCATCCCATCATGAAATAGCTTTAGAATGCAAATGAACTTCAATGGACAACCAAACCTAGACAGCACCTTCCATAACTCTTCATGACTAATGGAATCAAAGGCCTTAGTTAGGTCCGTAAATGCCATAAACAATGGCTGGTGTTGTTCTCTTGCTCTGTGAGCAAGGATCTTCCTGCCAATGGAGAGGAGGGCAATGTCTTGGTAATTCCCACACATTGACTTGTCCCCTTTCTTAAAAATGGTCACAATATTGGCATTCTTTAGGTCGGGTAGAATTTCCTCATTAACCCAAATTCTAACAAGAAGTTGATGAAGTTTTTGCACAAGTGCTATTCCACCAGCTTTGAAGACCTCCACGGGGATGCCATCTGGGCCTGGCATCTTGTTGTTTCTAGTCTGAGTGATGACGTGCCAAACTTCCTCAGAAGATGGGGGGGTCGGCAAGAGGTTCTATTACTGGGTGTTGAGGAATGGTCTCGATGGTGGCAGCTAAGACTTCATATTCACAGTTCAGTAGAGTCTCGAAGTGCTCCTTCCAATGCTCCTAGAGGACTACATTGTCCTTAAGAAGGGTAGAGCTGTCCTAAGATTGCAGAGGGGTTGTGGTGCTTGAGCTTGGCCCGTAGATGGCTTTCCTTGCTTGAAAAAAGCTTCTCATGCCATGTTGATCAGCAAAGCTCTGGATCTCCATGGCCTTTGCTTGCCAGCACTGATTCTTGATGTCATGCAGCCTCTTTTGAACTACAGCTTTAAGCCAATAAGTCTCTCGTTTTTGCTTGTTAGAGGGTTCATTTTGCTAAGTGCAAAATGTGCTTCTCTTCTGATGAATAAATGCTAGGATTTCCTTGTTGTTCTCATCAAACCAATCCTGATAGCGGTGAGTGGAGTATCCAATCGATTCAGCACACGTACAGTAATTATAATCAGTGATTAATTAATCCATTTAGGATACAGTATTACATTTGCTATTCTATTAATGATTCTCAACAGACAAATCTAGTTTACAACATCTTAAGCACATTTTGTAAATTAGTAAATGATCCAAAAAGTAATATCACAAAACACAAATCAAAAAGACTTAGGGCCCAGCCTCACATGAACTCATGGAAATGTTAGTGCACAATTGTCCATTATGGGAGTTTTTATCCTTTCTTCCAAAGCATCAGACAATGGCTGCGGTCAGACACAGGATATTGGACTAGGTTAGTGGCTTTCAACCTTTTTTCATTTATGGACCCTTAAAAAATTTTCAAATGGAGGTGTGGACCCCTTTGGAAAATCTTAAACATAGTCTATGGTCCCCCAGGGGTCCGCGGACCACAGGTTGAAAACCACGGAACTAGATGGACTGCTGTTCTGATCCAGCATGCCAGTTCCTATATTCCGACCATCAGACATATACTCAAATATCTTATTGAGTTTGGGTGCATAGGCCATGGCAGAATTGGGCCCCCAGTGTATACTACTGAAAACAGTGTAGTTTTACACCATGCAAGGCTATCTCCACAGAATTAATTAAGATATCTTGTTATCCTAACAACTTAATGTGTCCCTACAGTTTTTACCAAACTGATTCATTTGTGCCTATAAACTCCTCAGGGCAGGGGCTATGTTTTCTTATCTGTTTGTACCAAGCCTTCCAAAATGGGACCCTGATCCTGATTGGGGTCTCTGTGTGCTACCAGAATACAAATCATAATAATAATAATCAGAATATACATTGTGATGCACAAACAGGAGTAAGTACTTCCCTGCTCCCATACCCCAATCTCTGCAGTGAATACAGGATGAGGGATAAAAAGTGATCTGTTAGTTTAGAAGCTTGGTTCATACAACACATTCTCAGAGTCTCAAGATCCAAATATAAATGTAATACAGTCGGGTTGCAAGCCACGCAGTTATGCACATCATCATATGAGTTTAGCCAACAGCCCAGATATAACTAAATATGCAGGGCCTGATTCCCCTTTCACTTTTATTGGTGTAAATGAGGAGTAACTCCCCTGGAGTCAAAGCGGTAGCCATTCCACACCCCTTCCCGGCCTTACCAGTGGTCTAGGTCTGGGGCACCATCGTTGCTGGATTATAAGCATCTGTTTCCTGCTGTCTTCCACTGAATTCCATCTCTTCTCTCCTGTGCCTCAGCCTTCCTCCAACTTGGCTGACAGGTACCTCCTTCCTCCTCCACTCCCTCTCACCTTCTTCCCAGCCATGCAACGTCTTCCTCACAATCTCCTCCCACCACATCACTCTCCTCCTACTTGTTTCTTACCACACTGCCATTAGTGTCTTCTCCTTACTCTACCTCCTCTACTTCACCTCGTCTGTGCTGTATCTCACATTGTGTGTTTAGGGAGTGTCCTAGACTTTATGAGATGCTCAGAGAACTCTTTGTAGCAGGGATGGTAGCTGTCTTATGGTTTTGGAAGGTGTCTAGAATGGTCATGGGCGCACAGGGTGAAATTCACCCTTCTGCAGAGGGCCAGCATGAAGTATCTGCACTGCATAAACTGGGTTTAAGAGAAGTTAAGTGGAATAAAGGACCTTTGTGGGAACTTTGAAATTGACCTCACTACACTGTTAATCAATAATCATGTCAGTGAGAGGGAAGAGAATCAGATCCGTTAATACATAGACAAGTGATTTTAAAAATACTGTGGTACATATGCATCATCTTCCCCCCTTAATCTCAGTTCACTACTTCTATAGTTTTCCCTTCCTCTTAAAGACAATCCCAGTTAGGAAAGGCAAAAGATCCTAAGCGTCCCTTGTGTATTGAGCTCCACTTTTCATAAATCCTCACTGGGGACATCAAAACAGAAGGAAATAGTTACCTATGTAAGTATTTTATCCTCAGAGGGTAAGAAAAAATATCTCTGTGTCTGATTACTTAGATGTCAATGGAGCTATGCCAGCTGTACATCTGATCAAAAGTATGGATGGACTGATAAGAAAGCAGAAACATTACATAAATACTACAACACTGAACAGTAAGAAGTCTCCTGACCCCCACTATTGGCTGGATGGAGAAAAAGAAATGGGATCCCTCCGATACCACAACTAAGAAAATATAGAGAGAATAGATAGCTTTGAAGTAAATGGAATCAAAACCTAAGCAATGCTTTATTGCGGTAGCCAGTAGCCAATTAAACTGGGAACTAGTACAAACAGATTGAACGAGACTCTCTTTTAACAGAGATCTACGGTAACAAGACAACTTCTTTCACATTTTTGGAAACAAATATTTAAACCATAAATCAAGTAAAACATCAAAATTATTCATTGAAACACCATGAAATACAATAATATTTTTTTTAAAACGGCAGAAATCTACTCTTTATACAATGTTCTGCAAAATTTGTAAGAAATTTTTATAAATTAAAATATTAAAATGAACTTTATTTTTGTTTTATAAAGCAACACACGCTGTTTAAAAACAAGTATACCTTACTTAGAACTGCGAATAAAACTGGGTGAAAAGAAGCTGAAAATATGAACACCACCAAAAATACACAACCAAGCTTCACCTCTTAGGAAGGCCTTCTGCTATAGAAGGTGCTATGTTAATTGTATGTACAGCTTTAAACATTGCAATATACCACAAATAAACCTTAATAAGGTCAAAAATAGGACCCTTTGCAAAAAGGGGTGAGTTGGCAAATCCCAATCCAGTCGCACAAGTTACAAGGAGCAGTAACTTCAGTAGATATTTGACATAAATCAGAATCTACTTTTGCTTCCTCTCCCCAAATATATGTAAACTTTTAAGAGTACTTTAAGTAATTCTTGAAAATTAACCTCTTGTTTGGCTTAGAAATGAAGAACTCCCTTTCTTCACTTTTTGTTCAGAATCTGACTTAATCATCTCAATGTATTCTGTTTAGGGAGCTGGAAGAGAAAATCATTATGTACCATGTGAAAATCCACACCATCCCTCAGTTCAGTCATAGTACAGTATATTGCCAAATCTATCCAATAGGATATATATCATTTCCATTTGGTTTAAATTCTTAATATTCTCTCTTTACAAAGTTCCATCACATGAAACCAAATTGCTTATTTATTGTTATTGGAGGCACAACAGGACCCCAATTAGACCATTTGCTATAAAGAATTGTTCTTTAGATGTTGTGTCTGTAGAGGCTTTACGTGATATTCATAGATTTTCAGAGCTGGCCCCAGTTTTAACGCAAGTCCAGTCAATACATCATTTCTTGTCATCAGTAGCAATGATTTGCCGTCAATTTCCTAGAAAAAGAATTAACGAGTAATTAAGGGTAACGTACACATCTAAAAGATTACAAAACTATTCTCAACAGACAAGAGTATACTAAAGAGGATCATTCATGAATAACAGAAATACTATGCTCTATTTTTTCATAAACTGGAAACATCTGTAAACAAATGATCACATCTGCTGATGGGCCGATTTTCAAAAGTGCTCACCCCCTGCAGCATCTATTGACTTCAGCACCTCTAGAAATCACGCTATTTATTCAGGTGTCTAGCTAGAAGCATCCGCATTTGAAATTTTTCCCAGTTATTTGTTTCGAATTCACAGATGCTGGTAAATATTTTAATTATTAGGTACAGCAGGAAGGGTGGTCTTGTGGCTAATGCAGTGACCTGTGGTGCAGAAGATCTGAGTTCAAGTCTCAGCTCTACCATAGACTGTTTTGTATGACCTTTGGCAAGTCACTTGATCTCTCTGTGCCGCAGTTCCCTGCCTTTTAAAAGAAGGTAATAATATTTCCTTTCTCCCTTGCTTTGTCTGCCCTGTCTATTTAGAGTGTATGTCACTGTGGCGCTTTTGAAAATCCCACCCCAAAATCTGAGGCCACTTTTAAAAATTTGCCTCTAAGTGACTTCTCTAAGGTCACAGAGCCAGGAACAGAATCCACACCCCTCGAGTCCCAGTGCTGTGCTTTCATCACAAGACCATCCTTCCCCTCACAATACTGCAGGCAGTGCTTAATTTGTGCCAAGGCTTGCCAGGGCTGAGCGCCAGCACCTCTGGGCTTGCTGCATCAGTTATGAATGTAAATAAATTGCTGGAGCCCTGGCACCTCTTTCATTACAAATTAAGCCCTGACTGCAATGATACTGTGTGGCACAATCCACAGAACGCAAGCTACACCTACAAGGCTCTATACATGCATCAAAGAAGTGTCAAGAGCAATACCTTTCTGGCATCACATGGTGTAGCTGGAGTGCTTTCTGAGGTCAGCAAGTCCCAGAGAAGTTTATAGCTTTACACAGTTTGCCTACACTGTTTTATGTTCTTTTTTCCACAAAAACAACAGCATTTAGTGATTTAGAACTTGTTAGCAAATAACTTAGACCCAGTTCACTCCCTATACTCATTGCTATTTGCCTATACAGAAAACGACCCACCAGAAATGCAATGTTATTTTGTATTTACATCTTCCAGTACTACACATTTTTCCTTACTAATTGAAATGAACACAGTTTGTCCTGAGAATGTTAACTTCAGAGCATATTAGCCATTGGGTTCACAATTCAAACAAAAGGAAAAACATAAGATTCATGCTAGTGTAAGTATTGATTGGCCTGAACTCTGATCATTCTTCACTTTGGATAACTATTAATAAATGCAAAGTCCACAGAGAATTCACAACAATTTTATAGACAAAGTATATGCATTAATGATAGCCCAAGAATTAACTGACAAGTCTATGGCACTCACACACAATAACTTTGGAAGAACTGTTTATAAATATTTTCAATTAGGCTGCAGCAAATGAAAAGTAGATTTTGGTTGAAACTTCCCCCACAGTCTCATTACTCTGGTTAATCCCTCAAATGAAGCTCATCATAATTTAATATTTCTGATAAATGTGTGTTTTCAATATCGCATTATCCAAGTATAGTAGCTGCCTCTTACCAATTGTTGAGAATTTTAATGGTCAATAATGGTGTCTACTCTTTCTTCTCCATTCATCACAATTCTCTTGGTAGTGATTTTGATGCCATTAACTATTTTGCTGGTCGTTATGACTGATTTGAAGTTGCCTTTCCCTCTGTTGTTCAGTGACGTGATGGAGGATGAAGAGCAGCCCCCAACTCGTTGGGAACCAAATGAAGTAAATTCAGTCCCTGAAATAGGAGACACTCCAGCAATAGAGACAGAGTATCCTTCACCACGTCTGCTTCTTCTTCCATGGAGTCCTCGCCGAATGCCAGAAATCCCATCAAGTAGATCATCCCAGAGTTTCACTGTAAAGGAGTCCATTCCTCTCAACACATCTGTGTGGGGGCTACTGAATGGGAATTCAGTATCAAAGTGACTCCCACCCCTGCCTGTCTCTCTACCTTTCCCTCCACCTTCATCTCTACCTCTTCTGTCTTTTCCACTTATACCTCCTTCACTAGACATGTCATAGACATCCCGTTTTTTGGCATCAGATAAAACCTCATATGCCTTAGAGACTTGTATGAATTTCCTCTCTGCTGCCTCTCTGTTCTCTGGGTTTTTATCAGGGTGCACCTTCAATGCCAGTTTTCGGTATGCCTTTTTAATGTCATCTGCAGAGGCATTTCTTTGAATACCTAGAATGTCATAATAATTCACCATCTTGTCAAGATGTTCTCAGCAGCAAAATTCAGTCTCTGTCCTCAGCAACCATTGGCAATCCAGTGAAACGCTAATTCCTCTCGGCACTCTCTCTGTCCCTCAAGTTTAATATGGTTGAGTAATATCAGAAATTTTTTAAAAGGAAAACATGTTTATATTAAAGTGATTTACAAAATGTCTCTCTGTGCTCCTCCATGTTTTTGTTAAGGTATCTTCGTTAGAGAGAGACATGGAAAACTAGCTATTTTCCAACCAACAGTCTGCTTTCAGGATAGCTATGAAGAGGCCTTTGTTGGAGTGGGGATTGTGACATCAGAGGTAAGTCAGCTAATAATCATGCTGAGGACTTTAGTTCATTTGCATACTGCAATCTCATTGCTTAAGGTGCTGTGACAGTGGTTATGAAGAGTCGAATTTAGCATTATTGAAATATAACCCTCTGGCTACATGACAGACATGAATATTATTATTGTTTTTGGTAGCTGGCACTGAAAGTTTTGCTTTCTCTGTTAAATATACAAAGTCGAAACATGTGGCAAAGGGTTACATGCATCAAGTCACCCACACACACCAGCTGCATTGTCAGGACTTGTGTTTTCATCTGCTGAAGCAATGCAGGCATACTAGCAAAGCTCTTCGAATTCAGCCTTGCAATGTGTTGCAGTCTATTTTAGTGTCTTGCTCTTTGAGCCAATTGTTCAGAATGTTTATGGCTCATATTTTCTGTCTCAGTATTTTGCATCTTCCTGCTTCTCTAATTCCCCTCTATCCTCAACTCTCTCACAGTTACAGCAACCCGTTCCCTGCTAATTTGCTATTTTCACTTTTTTATAGTAATTTCTTCCACTAAAATCAACTTACATCCACTGAAATGAGAGAGATATTAAGATTTAATAATACCAGCAGAAGTATAATCACCTTATAATTAACCATTTACACTAGTATTCACAATATACAGTTTTTAAAAAAATGTCTTTTTCCTCATCTGAGAGAGACAAGGGGGGTGAGGTAATATCTTTTATTGGACCAACTTCTGTTGGTAGAAGAGATAGGCTTTTGAGCTTCACAGAGATCTTCCTCAGATCTTTTTCCTCATCTGTAAGACATGTTCAGGTGTTAAAGCAGCTTGGAGCCATTTATCAGTGTATTTTATGGGCAAGTATTCAGAGATGTATTATACATCCCTTACAAAAAAGTGTGGACTCAGTTACTATTATGCAAAAGGTGGGATTCAAGAACAAAGCAAGCAATCACATTTTCCAACAATTCCCTAATACATATGTTGTAGCCAACCACTATACAAAAGAATGGCCCAGGTGTTCCCTCTACTTAATGGAAGCAGTACAGTGGAGAACAATTTTCCATGGCAAAGGTAAGGCAAGGGGTTATGTGGGACGCTTCCCTCCACACACACAGTCACTTTCCCCCTGCAAGTGTGTGGGGATAGGGGTGTGGGGAGAGAGCCACATTATATGCATGCCTGCCCATTCTTGCCCTCAGGCGAGTACATAAGTAGGATGGAAAGTCCTGAATAGCATTAACTCCTGGTGCAATTTCACAGAGGATAGCTGGGGGCAGCAGCCAATGCCAGCACAGCTAGGGATCCCTCTCTGTTGCCATAGCTGGGTTCCTGATGATAAAGATCTGAGGACCCTTAGAGATCCAACAATTAACAGAAACACACAGAGATAAATGGAACCTGAACTAGCAGCTTTCCTCCCAAAACCACAGCAGCTGTCCTACCTTCATCATAATAAAAACAGCACTTAGCACTTCTATACTGCCTTCCATCAGGTGATCTCAGAAGCTCTGCAGATATTCTTGAGAGTCAGCCTCACAAGAGTGCAGGAAAGTTGGCAATTGTTCTTGCTGCATTACTGTTACAAGGCAACGGAGGCACACAGAGAGTAAGATTCTTGACTGAACTCACCCAGGCACGTCTGTCAGAGGAAGAAAAGCCAGAGCCCCTGACTCCTCAGACTGTCTCTTTCTTAATCATAAATCCACCCTTCGTGGGGTGGTGGAAAGGAGTCACAGGTGATGTTCTTGATGGTGTTAGAGAAGTAACAGACTCAGTCAAATCTTGTCTGTCCGATTACTCATCTTTAAATGTAAAATATGCTGAACAGTTAGCAGCAGCTGTAGAAAGAGGCTCCTCGAGCCCTTCCAGAGAATTACCCAAAACAAGGGTTTATTCCACAAGAATGAAACTAAATTTAGTCCCCAGGCTGCACTGATAAATCATCATCAGCTGGGACTTCATTTCTCAGGCTTTAAGGTCAGTTAGATTAATTCAATAGCAAGAAGCTAATTTTATTCCTTTTTGAAGGCCACTTTTTTTTTTTTTTTTTTTTTTTTTTTTTTTTTTTTTTTTTTT